TTCAGCAGCACCTTCCTTGCAGTAGACTTTCAGCAGAGCTTTTCTTGGTATATCCCAGCAGAAGCTGGGAGAAAGGGAGGAATCCAGGGAGTTTTGTTTCTGCTGTTCCTTCCCAGGCTGCTGCCCATGGCCATTGCTGGGGCTGGGCTGCAGGGTGGGATGAGCCCTGAACCAGTGTGGCCATCCCAGCCTGGAGCTGGGGGAGGGACACGGGGCTCTGAAGGAGCAGGGACGATACGTTACCCTTACAGAACTGATGCCATCTAGGGAAAACTTTTCAGACTCTCTCAACTGGTAGGGAACCCTTTGTGATCACATCAGCCAAAGAAATGCTCCAAAATCTATAGTCTGCCACCAGTACTGGTGCTAATAATCCATGCAGTTCACGTTCCTGCAAGAAAAACTGCATGATATACTTTGCTCTCGCTTCAGGATGGCACTGTGCACCTTATCTATGGGATCCTGGAGAAACCGGTCCATTCCCTCCACGCCATCAACATCTCTGCCATCCACAGGGGACTGCAGAGGGTGCAGCTGCTAAAGCCCAACATCACGGTCCCTGAACTGCCCAGCGACATGAAGACCATGGAGATAACAGCCCCTGACATTGTTATTCCCAGCCAGGAGACAACCTACTGGTGTTACATGACAGAGCTCCCAGACGACTTCCCCAAACATCACATTATCATGGTAAGAGGCAGGAGAAAAGGGTTCTGGTGCAGATCAGCAATCATGTTCACATTCAGCCATTCTGCAAAGTCCACCTCTTCCCTGCCCTTTCACAGGAAGGCTTTCAGACCCATACACCCTCCCCCAAAACATCCCCCGGAGCCATCCCACCAGCCAGCATCCTCCTCCTGTCTCCCAGAGAACCCAAAACCTGAAGTTTCTCAGCAGAAGGTGGCAGGTTGGTGACTTTCCACCTGACACACCAAGCAAGTACCAGGGCAGGCTCAGAGCAGAGCTGTAGCCATCAAGAACAGACCCATGGCAGGATTATAGCACACGTGAGGAATGTATAAACATGGGAAACAAAGGAACAGGGCTGGCGAGAGCAGAGCAGAGCAAGCCAGGGTATGAACTGACCTCCAAAAAATAAGACATACTCCAAAAAAAAAAGGTCATAGGCATAAATGCAGCTCGTATGCATGCTGTTGCACATGCTCGGGTCACCTCCTCCAAAGGAGAGGCAGAAGCCTGCAGGCAGCCCAGCGCCAGGAAAGGCAGGTGTAATGCCAGACCGACCACGGCGAGCTGCCAGGAGAGCATCACCCCAGCAGGCACAGAGGGGGCTCGGCAGGTGACCTGGCACACCCCGAGTCAAAACCATGCGGCAGGGAGAGGGAAAACCTGACACACGAGCCAGAGTGCTTGGTGAGCTATAGGGGAGAGACGGCGTTGCAAAGGAAAACGCAGAAGGATTTTCTCTCCAACAGATGGTGTGAAATGAATCATCTGTGTGTAAGTAAAAAGTGCGTAACTTCTGATACCTTCCTGCTGCTGCAGATCATTTCTACAGCTGGTGCTTTTAGCCAGAGCCGCTCCTCAGGCTTGTTTCAAGTCACTCTTTCTACCCCAAATCCCCCTCTCCATGCCCTGAGAAGCTGCTGGCTAGAAACAAAACACAATAGCTGCAGGCATTGCAGCTGCAACGAGGTCAGGACCCTCTTTAGGAAAGAGCAATGTCCCCAGGGTCACCCCAGCCCTGCAAAACTGGCAAAGCGCTTGGTCATCACAAAGCAGACTGAGATCTGCTGAGCAGGTTCATCTGTCACCGCAGAAGGGATGAGATGTTTCTCTACGGGCTCTGGTGGACTCTGGGTTGGTCTCAAAGCCAGCCAAGAGCTCTTGGCCCCTGGTTCCTCATGCCCAGAGAAGCCTTCCCTCCCCATCACTGTCTCCCATTCGGTACCGGAGAGCAGACATACCTATCAGCATCCAGCAGTCCCCGGGGATGGGCTCTTGGCAAACGGTCTTAACGTGTCCTTCTTCTCGGGCACTGGGAGCCAGTGATCACGGCGGGCAACGAGGCTCTGGTCCACCACATGGAAGTCTTCCAGTGCGCTGCTGAGTTCGACAGCTTCCCCCGCTACAACGGGCCCTGCGACTCCAAGATGAAGCCAGACCGGCTCAACCACTGCAGGCACGTGCTTGCAGCGTGGGCCATGGGAGCGCAGGTGGGTGCAAGGTGGGACCCTCTGCCCTGAGTGAAAGCTTTGCTAATGGGTGTTTTCCTGCTGCCTCCCAGCCCTTCCCCGACTCATCTTGGGATTGTCCCATCTGGGCTGCCCCAACCCAAGTCTCTGCTGGGTTTTGTGTCCAGCCCTGTCTGAGCTCCCCCCAGATGTGTCTGAGTTTCCACCTCACCGCAGCCCACCTCCTCGGTGCCATAAATTGGCGTGATTCCCCTACTTGGTGGTTATGCCATTGCACGTGCACGCCCGTGTGCAAGAAGCCTTTCTGAGCAAGACCAGCTCACCAAGCACTACCACGAGCACAAGTCACGTCCCTCAGCCCACAGTGGGGTCAGGATTATGCTCACACATTTCCCTCAGGCTTTTCAGCCTTGTCCCCAGGAAAGGCACCCCACCACTTCCCTAACCACCCTCCTCCTTCTGCTTTCAGGCTTTTTACTATCCCGAGGAAGCAGGTCTTGCCTTCGGTGGTCCGGGATCCTCCAGATATTTGCGCCTCGAGATTCATTACCACAATCCACTGGTGTTTGAAGGTGAGTGGGCACGTGGCGATGCCCAGTGCATCCCCAGTGAGGCAGTGCCTGGAGAGCTGGTAAACCCCAGGCACTGCCACCCTGCCAGGGAGGGCTTCATACAGAAGAATCGTTGGCCAAAATCACAGCCCTGTTTGCAACTGTCTGGAGACCTCATGGTCCAGATCTGCACAAGCACGAGGAATATATTAAATATATTAAATAAATGTATTAATATATTAAATCCTCATCATGCTGCTGCCTTTCTGGTCTCAGCATAGTCATCCTCACCGAAGCTGGACCCCATCCTTGTGCATGTCCAGCAGCGGAGAAGGAGGCTCATGAAAGGGAGCCTGGCTGAGCCCACAGCCCCCCTGGCATTAAGTTGCCCCTATACATCGTTCCTGCAGGACAAAGTCCAAGGCAACGGCAGTATTTAGTTGGGCTGGTGGTGGTGGGTCTGAGCTTAGAGCCAGGAACAACAGGGAGACAGCACCAGCCTGGCTGGGGATGGGGAAATTTAGATGTTGTTTTAGTGGTACTCCTGCTTCAACAACACTGTCAGG